ATAAGCCGATATAAAGTGAGATAAGACGATTAACGAGTGACAGCGCAATGGCGCGAAAATGGAAGGAACGACTGAAAGCAAAAAGAAAAAGAAGAACGGGAAATCAAACGAACTAAAGGTCTCTTAAATGATATTAAATGGGCTAAATGGGTTAAATAAGTTAAATGACTTGGAAATAATTTCAATCTACTCCGTAGAGAAACCCAATTGATCAGCGGTCTCAATTTAGTGGAGCGCCACAATCTCTGAACAAATAATAGGGGTCTTGGAGGGTCTTGGAGGGGTCTTGCGTTCTTGGAGGTTTCACATCGGCGTTTCATTTAGTTATATCGGTACATATGCAGAACTCCGTAGTATATACAATAATTTCTCATGCCATAGACTAAATTACATTTAAAATAAAAAATGTAGAGCTCCATTTCTTTTCTCTTCCCCAATTTCCTTCCTTTCCCTTCCGAAGACGAACTTGGCAAAGTACGGCCAAGAATTCCCACTTAGGGCCAAGATGCCCTTCAATAATGACTGCTCGGACGCTATTTCTGGGCCGTCTGGGCTATTTAGGCTGTGTTGAAATGCTAAATTCAGGGGTATAAGCAACAAAAATCTTCAAGTCCCTCGATGCTGTCATTAGAGATATAAAAAGTTTGAAGATATGTATTATGCCCCAGTGTGATTAGGGTTGGGAGATAATGGCCTTGTATTTCAGGTGTCGAACACTGACCTGCCTCATTCGGAACATCCTGTCTCACTTTATACCTGACCTCTTATTCACTCTTCTTCCTTCTTCTTCTTCTTCTTCTTCTTCTTCTTCTTCTACTCTTGTTCTATGTATATATATCTATATATATATCCATCCCATAATGACCATGCTCAATGAACTGGAGTAAATTTGATTTATAGACCTCAAATTCGTCTTTGCTTAAAATGCCTCGGAATCAATACCTTGGCAATAGATTGTAGCACAGCGGAGAGCTCCACGGAGTAGGGACCAATGATCATCGAGAATTACCGGCCTGGCTCTGCAGGATGATGTTGGAACTCCTATCCAACCAGTGCCTTCTCTCTTGCCTCTCCCACTCATTCTCATTCATTCACTTGGCTTCTTCCTCGTCCCATCGTCCCAACCCACGAGCAAATTGGAACGGGGCACGAGTAAGTGCACTCGATTATAATACCCGCGAACATTCCTCGTCTTACATGACCGCTGCGGAGTGCACAAAATGGAAAAATGACGAAACCACTTCTTCTCAGTGAACAAACGTACTCCTCGCTATATTACTTACTACCAAGGGGTCATTCTATAGTTGATGTTCGAATATCTTGAAGCTAGGGTCCTGGATGAAAGAGGGTTTGGTCTATAAACGTCTTCCTGGACACAAGATGGAAAGGTGTATATACCTCACAGGAAAGAAACCAAAAGAGAAAAGAGGTAGCTTTAGATTGGTGGTATCTCTTGTGCTCCATATAATCGAACTATTTGGCAATGAATCGCCATCAGTCCTTCCAACTTACATGGTAGCCTTCATCCACACCTTTTTGTTTTCCGTATCCCCCACGGCTCCTGGGCAACGAACATACTAGTTCTCCGCGATATAAATTATGTGATACAAATTTGAGAATTCCATCTAAAATACAGGTTGTTGAGAGGTCACGTCGAGTCTTCTATTCGATGTTATCGTCGGTGCCAGTCTTGGCGCCGACAGATTGACCACCATCGAGTGCGATAAGTTCGGCGAGGATTTCCAGGGTTTCCTTGGGAACGGTCTTATCGTAAATTCCGATCAAATCCTAGTAATTACAGCAGTTAGAATGATGATCAAAATGATCAAAAAAAAGGCAATAGGCAACATCAGGAATGGTTTGTACTTACCTGAGGCTGGGGGTAGACCTTCAATGCTTTCCAGAAGGCAATGGCTGCTTCGACTTGGGAGCCTGGGGATTCAGTTAGCCATCTGTTTATTCTGATCCCGTCTCTCGGAATCAAGATAGGATGAGACAATGGATTCAATTTACCTTCCGAGGCACAAAGAGATTCGCCCAACGCGACTTGGCTCATAAAGAAGCTTTCCTTCTCTTCGAGATCTGTTGGAAGTTCACCGTTCCTCTTCACTTGTTCGAGCGCATTCTTGAGCTCTGCGACCCTGGCTGCGGCGCCGGCCTCTGCCTCCTGCTTCACGCTTTGTTCGACCTTTTTGTTGTTCTTCTTCAACGACTTGCGGAAGTTAGGGTCACTTTGACGCTTGTAATCGAAATAAACGGCGTAGGCTGATAGACACGGTTAATAATTGAAAAACGCGCCAAGACGAATACTACATACCGAGAACTCCCGTCAGGAGCGTGCCGGCGACGATGGCAGTGTTTCGGAAAGCCATAGTGAAAATGTGGGATGAGATCGAATTAGAGGTATGGGGTTTGTCCCAAATTCGAAGTGTATGGGGACTTGGAAAGGCGATAGTGGTTGAGTGATGGTTGGGTGATAAAAATGTTTCCAAGGATGTCGAGATGTCCGGAGCCTGTTAGGGATTATGTAATCATACCCGCAGCCCAAGCGTCATCCCCTTGACCTCCCGCGACGTTTCCATTCCTTGACTATAGCTACATTGCCAAGTGAAATCACCATGGAAGGCCGAGGATTGACTCTAAGGAGCAAGTCTCGTCGGCAGCGCCCTCAGATTAGCGCTCCCAAACCCATATCCGGTCCTCTACCTCCCAATACCAGATCTCCCGAATCAGGCCCAGCCGCAATCCCCACACGTGAGCGGGCACCCCAGAATGATGCGACCTCGGATTTGGTGAAACGGCGATACTCGACTCGATTCAATAGCGCACCTGAATATGATGGCAATGCTCCTCCTGTTCCGGCACTTCCAACTCAGGTGCCCGGAGGACATGGTGGATTAGCACCGGCAGCTATTCCCAGGCTACCATCACCAGCGGACCCGAACTCTCCAGCACCGAAAGTCGACCTCAATGCTCTACGAGATCCTAGTCTTCCAGTTGATCGATGTTAGATATCCCTAACCCCTCGCTGTGTACTTTGAGAAAGCTAACCAGCAGGTTCCGACGCTAGATGTGGCCGGTCTTCTTGCCAACGCGTCCGAGGAAGATATCCAAAAATATCAAGAAAGCCTACGCAAAGTCAAGAACCGAACATCCACCGACCTCCAGCAAAATGTTTATCAAAATCGCACCCAATTCATCAAGATCAGTAAAGAAGCCGAGAAGCTCAAGGATGAAATGCGGACCCTCCGTACCCTCATGGCGGAGCTGACAACGGCGCTTGGACAAACAACCGTGGGAAATACTCCTAATCCCATGTCACCAATGGAGGACTCTTTTCCCAAACGCAATGCCAATCGCAGCTCGGTCGCCAACCTTGAGAGCATGTGGAGCGTACAGCTACAAACGTTATGGAAAACAGTGGAGGGCTCGCAAAAGTGGCTTCCAGCTGCACCAGGCCGCCACATTGTTCTGGAAACTGGCAATTGGGTTGAGCTGGACTCAGCCACCTGGAAACCCAGACGGCCCGTTCACATTGTGTTGTTAAACGATTATCTGCTCGTAGCTGCGAAGAAGCGGAAGCGGGTTGACCAAAGTAACCCCAACCACCGAGGGCCTGTTCCAACGAGGCTAGTGGCAGAAGATTGCTGGCTTCTTAACGACATCGATATGATTGATCTCGGGGCCAATCTGGGAACGGGACAAGCGCGTGAGGAAGCTTTGGATCGGGGCATTGGAAGGTCGATCAGTATCCGCGTGGGATCCAAGCCCTTTACATATCGCCATGATGATGTCTCGGCGAAACAGGAACTTCTAGCAACTTTCCGCAAGACAGTTGAGGATCTGCGTCGAACCATGCGCTCAGAGACCGAGGCAGCCAGCAAGCCCTTGGAATCGTATGGGTATATGGCTGGTCGGCACCTTTCCCATTCGAAAAAGCCAGAGTCCTTCGACCTCTCCGATACCCCAAGAGACAAATCTGATCTGCGTATTGATGTGGATGGGAAACAACAGAACCTCCGTTGGGTTGAAGGGCAGGTGGACGAGCTTGATATTGACATTGCGCTTCAGCGATTCGAGGCGGCTGTGTTCAGCATTGAGCGACTACGGAAATTGGCCAAGGGTCTCAAGGGTAACACCATTGCACAAGACGTCATCAATTTCAAGGTCGACGGGCGAGCGACTCGACTTGCTGGCATTCTCTCGCGGGCACTGGTTGACAAACACTCATTCCCGGTAGCTACCAAGACACACGTTACTTGGTTGACTCGGTTAGGGTTTGAGGATCAGGCACGTGAGACCTACCTGAAGGCACGCTCGGATGTGATCGGCCAACGCATCAGGTATGTTTTTCATCTTCTATCAGACAAGCTTATGTTTACATGCTGACTTCTTTTCCTAGGGCTTGTATCTTCGAGGGTGATCTGCCTCTTTACATCTTCCAGATCTCCTACGTCTACTTTACCCTGATCAAGAACACCATCGGTATCTATCAACAATGTTTCCCCAGCGTAATGAGTAGCTCTTGCATTCGCTGGGCTAAGCATCACCTCGACGGGTTCAATGCTCTACTCAGTCGACAGCTTAGCAGCGTGCAGCGTGGCACATCGGTTTGGCAGAAGTGCCTCGACATTGTGCATGATCATGCCGCTCTCTTGGTGGAAGTGGGTGTGGACTTTACAGACTTGGTGGCTCGCGGACTAGAAGAGAATGGCGAAGGATCATTCGAGGGACCACGCACCGTCCAACCGGGTGAGCTGGCACAGGCACCATCCGCGGTAGCCATGCTATAGTTGATTTATTGTGAAATGTCGAATGTCGAATTAGCGACCTTGATGTGGAATCTATGCTGTGATTATGTTTAGGCAGAAGAATAATTATGTCCTACAATCCCACCCTAACACCGAAGACGGAGATAAGACGCTATCCCCGACTGCTCCTTCATAACCCTTGTTTCGCGTGTCTCTCATCGTCAACTCCCAGCAAACATTGTATGAATGATGAAGATCATCCTCACAGGTTCAACAGGCTTTATCGGCCGCGAAGTCTTATCCCAATGTCTTGCACATCCTGCGATCACCTCGATCGTAGCGCTCAGCCGACGAGACCTACCAGCACACAAAAAGCTCAAAGTCGCATTAATTGAGGATTTCATGACCTATCCTGACTCCATCCGGGATGACATTCGAGATGCCGAGGCATGTATCTGGTATGAAACCACCGCCAAAAGTCTACATGATGCGATATTGACTTCTCTTCTATGTAGGACACTAGGCAAGGCTCGCATGCCTGATAATTATATCGCTCGACGAGTGAGCTTGGACTATACCCTTGCTGCAGCGCAAGTCTTCCAGGAGACGTGCCAGAAACCGTTCCGGTTCATATATTGTAGCGGTGCTGCCGCTGAGAGGGATCAGACCAAACCGCTCTGGTTTATGCAGGAGTATCGACGCATTCGGGTACGAGAACATCGATCGGAACCATCCAAATTTCACTGACTAGTAGTAGGGCCAAGTCGAGAATGAGCTTTTAGGATTTGACAATGATCACCCTGGTTTCGAGGCTCATATCATGCGGCCGGCTGTGGTATTAGCGCAAGGTATGAGCCTACACAGTCTTGCATTTAGTCTTGGACCATCAGTGAAGGTGGATGATTTAGCTGGGGCTATGCTTGAACTGGTTTTAAAGGGTGGAAAGAAGAGTATATGGGAGAATGCTGATCTCAACCTTGTTAGGTGAAGATCTAAGACTTGCATACAAACAGTATATAGCATTATATGTGAGTATAGTTGAAGTAATGAGGAACTTATTTTTACTACTATTTTAGTATTAACTACCTATCTTAACTGTCTCGAATCATGATATAATAATTATAATATCTCTATTTCCTATTTCGGCCTTCTCAAATACTCCACAGTGGGCATTGGCGTTTCTCTCCGCAATCGGCTAAATACATGGGGCATCCCGTATGTTCCTCAAATTCTTCAACTTGACCCTCTCCATATTCTTATATTCTACATTGGCTACATGATTTATCTTTAGGGTCAAGGTTGCCAAAGATTCAAAGATTCAAATTGATTATGCCGATCCCTTCTTTACCCCTCTTTGCTGCAGCGGAGCAACATGCACGCCAGAATCCCGAGAAGATCGCGGTTGTTGACACCACCAAACAAAAATCCTTCACATTCGTTCAATTGCTGGCCGATGCAGCAGCATTAAGAAAGCGCATACTTGAGCAATTGGCATTGACGGAGGATTTAGAAGAACGGCGCATTGCCTTTTTGGTCCCGAATGGATATGACTACGTTGCTACGCAATGGGCCGTGTGGGCGGCCGGAGGTGTATGCGTTCCACTTTGTAAGTGAAAACGATGCGCAGGAATGCGAAACTTTTCTTATATGCAACGCTAACATTGACTAGGCACAAGTCACCCAGTGAAGGAACTGCTATACACCGTCGGTGATTCGGACCCCTCGTTGATTATTGTGCATCCGGAGTTCGAGAAGATCGCACCGTCGCTGCGCGAAGGTTGCGCCACTGACATACCATTCATTGGACTGGAACCATTCTCTCGAAATGAGGCCCCGACCTTACCTTCTTTCTCCCCGCCGTTTGCGCTCACGCGCCGCGCCCTGATGATCTATACCTCTGGAACCACATCAAACCCCAAGGGCTGCGTGACAACACACGAGAACATCACTTTCCAAGCGAGCTGTCTGGTCAAGGCCTGGGAGTACACTCCCTCGGACCATCTGATCCATGTGCTACCGCTCCACCACGTTCACGGGATCATCAATGGCCTGGCTGCCAGTTTCCTGAGTGGTACCACCGTGGAGATGCATCCGAAGTTTGATCCGAAGGTGATCTGGGAGCGGTGGCAGGACCACGGCTCCTCGACCTTGTTCATGGCTGTGCCTACCATTTACTCGCGTCTGAATGACTACTTCGATGCTCACATCCGCGGCACGGAACAAGAGGATGCCGCGCGGGCAGGAGCTCGTGCTCTACGACTAGTCGTCAGTGGATCTGCGGCCCTCCCCACCCCCATCAAAGAAAAATTCGCCGAAATCACCGGGCAGGTTCTACTGGAGCGGTATGGAATGACCGAGATCGGCATGGCGATCAGTTGCGGGCTAGAGATTCAGAAGCGAATTGATGGCAGTGTTGGGTGGCCGTTGCCTGGCGTCGAGGTGCGACTGACCGAGAAGGAAACCGGTCGGATCGTGGATGAGGTAGATGAGGATGGTATGATCGAGATCAAGGGCGGGAATGTCTTCTGCGAGTACTGGCGGAAACCGGAGGCGACGGCGTCAGAGTTTACAGCGGATGGATGGTTCAAGACCGGCGATGTTGCCAAACGCGATTCAAGCGGTGCATACTTCATCCAAGGTCGTGCCTCTGTCGATCTAATCAAATCCGGTGGATATAAGATTTCGGCATTGGAAGTTGAGCGCAAGATGCTAGCCATTCATGCGATTCAAGAAGTTGCAGTCGTTGGATTGGCCGACCAGGAATGGGGCCAGCGGGTTGCTGCGGTTGTCAAGTTCCGAGAAGGGGTACGTTTGTGTTGTACCCATACAGGGGAAACTGTCTTCTTTGCATATAACTAACATTGACATAGACTCCACCGCTGGAACTTCCTACTCTACGCGCTGAGCTCAAGAACGAGATGGCTCCGTACAAGATCCCAACTGTTCTAAAAGTTGTGGATGGGATTGAGCGCAATGCCATGGGCAAGGTCAATAAGAAGGTCATTGTACAAAAGTACTGGCCGGATAAGGCATAAACTGATAGATGAGGGTAAGAGATGTTTAGGTGTGTCAATTAGCGAGCATACACTTTGAGAGCATACGGGAAATAAACAAATGTACCAACTGTACAAATAGTGCATACTTTCTAACAATATAGAATACTTTAATAATCATATCAACCTTATAATGAAAAGGTTCTCTAGATTTATCGTAAGTTGGAATAATATTAGTCAATTACCCCGTATACGGTTTCTATACTCCACGATATAAAACTTGTAGACCTCGGGAATGCGCAAGACTGACTATGCAGCTTGCCGATCTTCCAGCGGAATCCGATCTCGTCATTTCAACCCCAATATTGCTCATTTCCTTCTTATATCCCCTATACCCGTGTTTTATTCGCTGTCTCGAGGGAACATGCTTTTTTTCGCGGGAAAGAATGGATGGTGTGCTACATGTTATATATTTCTCCTATCAACCCCTCTCTTCGTATATTATAGCCTTAATTGAAGCCCACATTCAAGACAGACATCTGGATTCTCCTGGGAGTCGTCATGGCTACTTCAGAAAAGCATGATGTGCCCACTGGCACCGAGAGCGACGCCAGTGGTTCTTCAAGTTTCAAGGGCATCAATGAGAAGGCTTTGTTACGGAAATTGGACTATCGTCTTTTGCCACCCCTCACATTACTCTATTTACTCTCCTTTTTAGATCGCAGCAATGTGGGAAATGCCCGCCTAGAAGGAATGACAGAAGACATCAATATGTGTACGTTTTCGTGTGTTTACATATCGACCAAGGACTGATTGAGACATCTGGAGATATATAGCAGGAAACCAGTACCTTACAGGTCTGACACTGTACTTTATCGGCTATGTTCTTTTTGAAATTCCTTGCAATGTGGGCACTGCCTGTTAATATAAATGATTATATACTAACAGTTCCATTCAGATCGTCTTGAAGAAAACAACCCCGAGGATATGGCTTCCAACTCTCACTCTTATTTGGGGAGTAGTCGCTACACTCTTGGGAGTAGTACAGAATTACTCTGGATATCTGTCTTCCCGATTCTTCCTGGGTGTTGCAGAGAGTGGATTATTTCCCGGTGTTGTATTTTATCTGTCCATGTGGTATAAGCGAAACGAGCAACATTATCGCGTGGCTCTGTTTTTCAGTGCTGCCTCGCTGGCAGGTGCCTTTGGTGGTATCCTAGCTTGGGTTGGTTTTGTTCTCTCGATAACATGTCCACAGCTAACAGGGTTTTAGGCAATTTCTCACATGAAAGGTGTGGGAAACTTGAATGGTTGGAGGTGGATCTTCATTTTAGTGCGTCCTGATCAACCATGTCATCTTATGATATACACCAACACAAGCTTACAATCAATCTAGGAAGGGCTGTTGACCATTGTCGTCTCGATCATCGCCTATTTCTGGGTCTATAACTACCCATCAACAGCCGAGTTTCTATCAAAGGAAGAATGGGAGTTCGTCCAATTCCGTCTGAAGAATGACAGCGATGCCACTCGGGATGAGGAATTCACATGGTCGGCAGTACTGGATGCATTCAAAGACCCCAAAGTCTGGCTGTATGGACTTGGATTCCACACAATGTCCTTGCCACTGTATACCTTATCGCTCTTCCTTCCAACGATCATCAAAGAACTCGGATACTCAGCCGCAAAGGCCCAGCTGCTTTCCGTGCCACCGTACGCAGTGGCATTCTTCCTGACGATTGGAGTGGCAATTGCTTCTGAAAAGACACGCAGCCGTGCTCCATTTATCATGGGATCATCCGCCATTGGATGTATCGGATACATTCTCTTACTATCACAGCATCGTGCGGGCGTGTCTTATGTTGGAACCATCTTCGCTGCGGCAGGAATCTACCCAGCTGTGGCTATTGTGCTGTCCTGGCCTGCCAATAATGTGTCTGGACAGACCAAACGTTGCATTGCCAATGCCATGCAGATCTCAATTGGTAACCTGGGTGCGGTCCTTGGAACACAGCTATACCGCACCGAGACTAGCCCGCGGTACTTCCTGGGTCATGGATTTGCCTTGGGATATCTGGTTGCCAACATTGTGGTCGTCGGGATCCTATGGGAGTTGCTCCGACGGGAGAACGCTGAAAAGCAGCGTGTTAGGGAAGTTCAGGGACTGAGCCCGTTGATGGGAGACGTAGGCGACGCGGAGGGAGAATTCCAAGGGGACAAGGATCCTCGTTGGGTGTTCCAAACTTGAAAAGAAGTTCGAAAATAGATGAATTAATGAATTATATTGTCCGAGTTGGTATATCAAATGCAAAAAGGCACCCAGTGCCAAGTCCTAAGTCCCAAGTTCCAAGTTCCAAGTTCCAAGTCCCAAGTCCCACCCAAGTCCAGAAGATGCCAAGACCCCAAAAAACCCCAAAAAGAAAAAGAAAAAATCGCTCAAAATGGAAATGACCCCAAAATGACCCAAAACGACCCAAAAAATGGAAAACACACAAAACACGCAAAACACGACACACACATAACACATAACACACATATAACACATAACACATAATATACACACATGGAAATATAGACATACACTGAACGGGGCCGTCAAATGAAACGGAAATTCATCTAATCTATACAGCGATTTATTCACGCTGGTTACGGAGTATCGAAAAACATAACTTTTCAAACAAAAAAAGGAAAAACAAACGTCTCACATGAATCCATGGCGCTTATGGATTCCCCTTTTCCAAATAATTATAATGGCAAAAGAGTTTTATATTCATGGCGCCAAGACAAGAGCAAGGAGAGCCATGCGGCAGTAGAGGCCGTAGCGCATCTGGAATGTAGTTAGTATATTGTTCAGGAAATCGGGGGAAAATTCAACACATACCTGGCGGAAGTAAGCAGCCCGCTGGTCGAAGTCAACTTCCTCAGAGATCTCGGCGTTGCGAGGGAGGGGGTGCATGACAACCATGTGGCTCTTGGCGTGCTTGAGCAGAGCATT